GAAGAGAATTATAGACAAATATCAGCTGAGATATATATTTCGTTTGAATGAATAATTACCCCATAACAAATCACTGTATTTTTGACTTAGTTTAAAACGTTTTGAACTAAGTCAAAAATACAGTCATCTGTATTAGGTAATTATATATTCTTAAATGGTCATATCTCAGCTAATATATGTATTTGACCGATCCTCTTCAAAATTTGTAATGATTAAAGTCAAAATTCATTTTTTTGTGACCTCACACTCTATACTAAGATACATGTATATGCATCAATAGACCTATCCCGAATTCGCTTGACTGACCATGAAACAATGGTTTGAAGTCGAGACTGAACTTGATTCTTTTATTCATCAAGTTCAACCTCGACTTGAAACCATTGTTTCATGACCAGTCAAGCGAATTTGGGATAGGTCTATTATCCCAATCATTGGTGGCATCAAAGTCATCATCTTACCAGGATCAGAACGCATCTTTCCAAACAATTGGTTTTGCATGCGAGGTGGTGGAGTTCCCGGATAACCTTGCCTGTGGCCCATACCAGGTGGAAGTGGCTGTTTGTTGTACATCTGCTGGTTCTGGAACATCTGAGGGGTCCTTGGAAATGGCCTCTAATAATATAAAATATAATATATTGAAATTGTGAATCTTCAATTTTATGTAACGTTGAAACATCATTGAGGTTTAATTGTTATGCAGATTTTACAGACATCCAAACGCAGTCATGACACTGAAAGACATATTCCAGAACAATCACATTGTGTGAGAATATAGTCTCCATCCAATGAAATAATAATAATAATAATAATAATATTAATAATAATAATAATAGTTTATTTCTCCACATAACGCTTAAAAGCATTTACCATACTCATTTATAATAATATGCACGGATGCAAATATATATAAATATATAAAATCCTATATAAAATACCCAAAGCATGGCATGAACATTGGACAGACATGGACAGACATGGACAGACCAGGGTCACAGCACTGCCAGACCAATCATATTGGGCAAGTAAAAAAAACAGCCAATTAAAATCCTAGAAAACATCGAAGTCGCAGCACGGCAAGCCTACAGTACTGCACAGAGCTTTTCATTCATAGTCTTACGAAAACTGCTCTAGAATTATAAAATAAATGAATATATTTTTCATTACATACCAAACCAGGTCCAGGTGAGGAAGCTCTGGGATAAATTTGAGATGCATGTTGTGGAAACGGCATTGGAGGATACCCATGGAGTACCTGAGGTGACCTCATCATTGGGGGTGGGGGCAGACCTGGGGGTGGACGACCAATCATTGAAGGGCGTGGTGTTTCTTGCTGGCCCATGGAATGAGGGCTCTCATTTGTGAACTCTTTTTCTAAATCCTCCAGTCGAATTGCAGTTGTGGGAACTTTCTTTGTAAAGCTGCTTGGTGGGAGAAGATTTTCAGTTGGCTTCGGCAGAGCTTCAATAATGGCGTCATCCTGAAAATGCCACAAGATCTTAAATATCATCTATTAAAGATGTGGGCAACAGCAATACTTTGATTTTCTGTTGATTTGATTTGATTCTTTTCTTTGTTATAGTAGAATCTATAAAATTACCTTTTTTAAACTAATAATCAATGAATAATTATCAATGAACAATTATCTATTAATTGTTAAAGTAAAGGACAAAAGTTTTTCTACGGTTCTGCATGGACCCCTCTCACAGGTACTATTGCCAGCGTGAGACCCTGAAAAACTTCTGGTCTGTACTCTACAATTTTCTAAAAAAAACCTATGAAGTTGCAGATTAAGGCCCAAATATTGAATTTGAGGGAAACTATATACAGTAAGATAAAGGTTTGTGTCCGGAACACACTTTCAGCATTTATTACCGTGCCTCTCACCTCAAATGCTGGTGAGTATGGTCGCCTGTTTGGTTTCTTATCACTACTCTGAACACTCTTTGGAGTGGCATTAGCTGTTTCCTTGAAAATTTGTGAATGGTCAGGTGAAGCCCAGATATTCGTAGCTGGATTTATCTAAAGTAAAGAAATGTCAACAGAAGTTAATAGTGATAATCACTTTTTACAAACATTGACCTAAGGAATCTTCTCTCATTCAAATTTGCCAACCATTAAAACAAAAGATATCTTTGTTTCAGTAGCCAATAGATTTCTGGTTGGTACATTAATAACAATAGGTGACCTCAGTTCAAACTCCGCTATACCTGTACAAAAAAACTTGTTATCGCTAATCACCATTGCAGGTACAGCAGTGGTACAGCTCAATGGGGTTGAACTGAAAGCATGTGAAGGTGATTGGCAACCTTCTATACAGTTAATGTGTGACCCCAGAGCACAGCTCTAACAAGTTTGAATAGGGCGTTTGCATGATGGCATCATTTGACTCCCATTACCAAGATGCTTCGCAAATTTTCTTTCTTATTCAAATTTGTACTCCCTCATCAGAATAGTAAGATAATTGGTGCTAATTAACTGAACAAAAGAAAGTGTGCAGGGGAGTCTGGTAGCAAAGGTCAATGACACCATCATGCAAACCTGCTATTACTGTAGTTAGAGTTCATTTTGCAAAGAGGGAGGATAAACCTCACTCGCATGAGATCATACACCCTTCTCATAATGGATGACGAGTACACAAAAACGAGGTCACCCAGTCATCTTGCAAGACTAAGCTTTTGCTCTTTCAAAATAAAGGTGGATAGCAGGAATTCAGGTCAAAAAGAAGGGCCGATTTCTATACTTTTCTTCTATAAGTGCATTTCATGTGTTTTTATATGTAAACTAATGACTGGGTGACCTTGTTTTCGTGCACTTGTCAACCATTATGAGAAGGGTGTATACCAAAATCATTATACAAAGCCTGCAGCTATTTTGTTTACCAAGTCATGAAGGGAGTCTGATGATGTTGGGCTAGACAAAGGAGATGATCCATCCCATGCTGATGAAATTACTGATGGGGCTGGAATATCCTGATCACAAAACAATAATAGCATAATAGTCAACAAAAAATGACAATAACCGAAACAACTGCTGCAGCAGCAACACTCAATGGTAAAAAATAGCAACAGCAGCAGTATTAACAAATGAGAATAGCAAGCTAACAACAACTGCAGCAACAACAGCACCATTAACAACTACAATACAGTAGCAGCAGGACCAATAATAGCATAAGCAACAACAAAAAATACATGTAGCAGCAGCAACCAGAGCAACAACACCAGCAGCAGCAGTAAACCACAACAAAAAACAAAAGACAATATTACAATCTGCAATCAACACTCCTGAGATAGCGCAGTACATACAGTATTGTATGTGTCTATTTAATACCTTATAACCAGTTGCGGCATAGGCTTTATTAGGTTCTTCTAAATCATCCTCATCAACCAGTTTAGCCAAACACTGTTCAAGAATTTCCTGAAAAAGATGTAACCCCTTTTTTATCATTCTTTTCTTTATACCAACACTCAGGGTGTTACTGTAAAAATAACTTAGGAGAAGGAGCTTCCTTTGTAATTAAGGGGCGTTAAAAGAGGACAACTTGTTTACCAGTTTAATTACTGTCAAGTACGTGTAATACTCTCTAAACAAAGTAGAATTATTTCTTTATTAATGATTACTGACTATCATTAATAGAATTTTGGACATTATTATACAGTGTACCTCTTCCTCTTCTAAGTTGGTATCATCGTCTGCCTTGAGTTTCTTTCTAGACAGCTCATCATTCCATGCTGGTTTGTCCTCTCCATGCAGATCTAGTCCTGCTAGTTTACGGTGGGCTTCTTCCCAATCATCCACTACAAACAAATAATAGCGACAATTACGTGATATCAACTTGATGAAACCTTGAAATACTGTAGCCTCTGAGCTGAACACTATAACTTTACCTGTAATTTTAACTGGGTGACAGTTTAATAGAGTTAAAACACTACAGTATAGAGGATTTGCACCATCACATGATGGCAGCCATGACAGGGGACAGGAACAATTGATTCTGGTGTATTCTGATTTACATTAGAAAGGATTCAGTTTCCCAGGGGGAAAAAGACTCTATTGTTGTTCCCCCTGTCATGGCTACCATCTCATGATGATGCAAAGCCTCTACATGTATCAAACTAGTTTTATATATTAAGACGACCTTATGTGTCCAAAAAGATGTCTATATACTTAATAACTAGTTTTAATTATTTTGTTTATTTTACAAAATAAAAGATTTATAAAGCTGGATTTAGCTATTAAGTTAAGATTCTGTTTCGTTTTATAAGATACTGTACTGCATAAAAGGCATTCTATCCGATACTTGGAAAACATTATCCATTAGCAATTCCATTATATTAAGCAAATACTGGATAATTTTGTCGTTAAATAGTAAATTGAAGTTTGGAATAACAACGAAATCTTTATAGTAAAAGAGACGTCAAATAGTTGAACAAAGTTTATCATTCCAGGCTTCAAAAGAAAGGTTTTCGTGCGCAGATCAAATTGTACAAGAAAAAATTCAAAACTGAAATTGAAACTGAAATAGAGTGGTGTGTTCAAGAGAAAAAAAAACATAAATGAATAAGCTTAAGCTCCCAAAAGAAAGAGAAATATTTGAAATCACTTCTGAAATTATACTGAGATTCATGGTTTCGTCAAGTGGAACTCTATGATAACAAATAAACCTTTTTAACTACGAGTACAGTAAATTTTAACAAACAATGTTTAGAAAATAAGTTCATCGTTCCCTAATAGTATATAAAAGGTTGAATTTAAGTCTATAAAGAAGAGAAAAATTCAAGTCTTACCCGAAGCACCAGTTCCAAATGTATCATCATTCAAGAGGTCGATGTCATCTTCCAAATTCGCTAAACTCGGGTCAACAACGGCTAAATCCTCGTCCTCATAAGACTGAATGTAAAATATAGAAAAGTTCATTGATGTATCTAGCAGTATGAGATAAAAGGGAGCATTTTTAAGGAGTTAAAGTGTGTGTAAAACTTACGGGTATCTGAGTGTTGAATCCAAAAAATGAATCCGCCATGTTGACATGTTGAATATGACGAACTACGCATGCGTCACACTATTGAGTCACGTGTTGAGAGCATTCGAATCTCACGCATTGGCACGCTTTAACGCACGCAAAATAACGCAAACATTTGGCGCTTGTTTTGAACGGGATAAATGAATAAGATTTATAAAATTGATTTAATATTTAACGAATATTGAATTAAATTACTTCATTACTACTTTCATCTCTTTATAAGCTTCTTTGTTTTCCCCCAGAGGAGGATCCACTATGATCTCAAGTGCCTTAGTGTTGATAATCTTCAATAAGGGAAACCTACTCACTATAGCTGTGTTCATAATGTATGGCAGAGGGGGAGGGGGAGG